ATATGATACCCATAACACTAAAATCGGTCCACAACTGGCCGAGTTATAGCGATTTTTGAGCCAGGCGGCACCTTGCTGCTGATTTATGGTCGCCTGGTAGAAATGGAGAATTTTGCCGACACAGAACGCGGCGCATCGCAGTCCAGCAGCGACATCTGTTGTCGCATAGCTTTAGGTGGCTTTAAAACTGTTCGAGGTGGCTAACATTTTAGTAACAGTGCTCTATTTGTGTTTTTGAAAAGTCGATGGGTAAGTTGATCAACCACCCCAGCGGGAAAAATCGATACCTTTTAACTAATTTGTTTTTTTCGAACAAAAAATGGAATTTTTGTAAATTAGACTTGATTCTGCGACGGTTTGGATATTCGAAACCAGTTTTGAATTTTTCAAAAATCGTGCCATTAAAAAATTAAAATTATTCAAAAAGTGGTCTGCACGGGCATATTCACTTCTATCATTTCGATAATTTTTATAGGCCGATATTTTTCGTTTTGGTCTTGAAAGACGTCAAATTTCTCGACCGTTTCGAAAATATATAAAACTTGTTGAACAAAATTATAGATCACAGTGATTTTGCCGTAAAGGGCAGCTCTGGAATGGTTTTTCCAAAATGGAAGGTCTGCTTTTAGGCGTATAACCTAGCGAATGTCACGGGAAGCAGCGCTAAGCAATGCCCTTTCATATGATACCCATAACACTAAAATCGGTATACAATTGGCCGAGTTATAGCGATTTTTGTGCCAGGCGGCACCTTGCTGCTGATTTATGGTCGCCTGGTAGAAATTGAGAATTTTGCCGACTCAAAACGCGGCGCATTCGCAGTCTAGCAGCGACATCTGTTGTCGCATAGCTTTGGGTGGCTTTAAAACTGTTCCAGGTGGTTAACATTTTAGTAACAGTGCTCTGTTTATTAACAGTGAAGTGAAATGTTATTAAGCGGTAGTCCATTTCACTGGTTTTATACGAGCTTTCAAAAAGTTTTCAGGTATTTTAAACTTACCTTGAATATAAATGTGCTGTATCCCTCCGCCTTTTACAAATAAAACCATAATTTTTGCTGTCTGACAGTTCATATATGCATGTATTTAATTTTTATTGGCTTCGATATGTATTTTTAATACTACATTGGTTTCTCTTATATTTCTCGACCTGTAATGGTTTTACATTGGTTTTTATACATTTAAAAGCTTTTTTCTGTGTTATACATCAACAACTGTATGTAATTGGGAGTTTAAAGCAGGGATCACACGATTTGTACATTTGTACAGATTTGTACATTTTCACAGTTACAGATTGCTGTTCTTTGGAAAGTTGTTATTGAGCTGAACTCATTATTTCTAGACAACACCACTCTGTGACTGTCAAAATATACAAATTTGTACAAATGTACAAATCGTGTGGTCCCTGCTTTAAAATAAATGTAAATAGTTTATTTGAATAGTTGGTTTGACCCTCTGGAACAGTTTTTGTGCTTAATATAAAATAAATATATTTTTTCTTGGTATTTGAAATTATTTTTGGTCTCTTATAAATGTTTTTTTTTTGGAAAACTACCAATATTATTTGAAAAAATTTGTACCTTCACTTGAAACGCACTTCCTAATCAATTTTCACTTTAAAGTTTGCGACCATAATAAAAATCATTTCCCGCTCAGTAGTATTTCCAAGCTTTACTTGCTCTTCTCTCGAATTTTCTAACTCCTTACACTCCCAACTCTCGACTCGGCGTTGTGGTGGCCATCTGTCCAGTGTGTGTGCCTGGCGGCGGCGGTGAGACCAGTCCGGGCATTAGGCGATTTAAGAGACTGCGTATGGCAAATGTCACATCATGATTGGCGAAACAAAAGAGAAACGAAACCACAAATCCTTGTAGGCTCACCAAGATCACGGACAGTATTTGATAGAAGCGTTCCAGTGGAGTGCCAGTATCCGGTCGATAAGGAAGGAGGAAGTGTTGCAAACCAAAAAGGGGAATCTGTAAAGGAAGAGATAAAGAAAGAAAGGTTAGTTTTACACTGAACTGAATAAGCTTGAGAGAACGAGTATATACTTGTACATAAAATTAATGTTCATTAACATATCACTCAACGAGAATATCCAGTTTGGCTATGGAAGAAAGTTCAAAATGATCTGAAGGGTCGAATAAGCAGCCACTAAAAAAAAATTAATTTTTAAATAGTCAATATGTAGTCTGAATGTCGCGAACTCACAGCTCGAAAGTAAACTGTATGCAATCACAAAAGTTTTTGTCACTTGAGTGATTTGTTTAGTCACTTTGTTTGAGTGATTTCTTTGCAGCGCTTCTGAATGCATGTGTCAGTTGTTTTTCTGACAACTTTTCTATTGGTTGGATTATTTTCGAATGTCTTTGTGTATGCAATATTTGTCTGTGTACCTACATACGTACATATGCATGTATGTATGTATGTTTCTTCAATTCATTTCTTCATTCAACTTACCAATATTATTGTGGCTCGTACTGCTTTTCTTATGGCCAATGGTGCTGGTTGCGCTGATTGTGGATGCAATTTGCGTACAATAACGCGCAAGACGTTGATGAGAAAGACTGCAAAAAATTTATGGTAAGATTTCTTTTATCGCATAATAACAAAGTGGTGATGAAAAATAAATAAAATTATAGTTAAAAAACTAAAAACACGCTTTTATTACAACAAGAACTAAAAAGTATAAAATAATTAGATTAGAAGATTAGGAAGTTCCCTAACTTGATCTAATTTAACTTTTTTAAATTAGCTAAAAATAGGATTAAAGTGATTGGCTCGTAGTCATAGTCAAAATAAAGTCCACTGTAAAGTTCGTTGCAGCATATTGACATAATTTTTATAGCGATATCTGTCAAGTGTGTAGCTCATCGGGAAGTATGTTAAATATTGACTGCAAAGTTCAGGACATACAAAGTACATACATACATGCATACATACAAGTGAAGTTAAATAAAAGCTTGTAATAAAAAAGGCAATTTTTTTTTTCTTACCAAAACTGGCCAGGAGCGAAGCACAAATGGGTACAGATAAAATCCACAACAGCAGACTATCATCCATCCAGCAGCTGAAAATGAACAGAGAGTAAGCGGAGATTCCTACGATTATTATGTAAAAATAAAGGCCTAACGTTTTAATAAAATTAAAAATCAAAAAAGCCCAAACAAATAACAAAATCTGCAAAAGGGCCGAAAATCCGGAAAAAATTCTGAAAAGTCTTAAAATATTCTAATAGAGTACGGAAAATTTCAATGAATATTAAAGAGTCTAGAAAATCTCTTAATGTCTCTAAAACAACAAAGAATCCGGGAAAATTTTAAAATACCTAAAAAATTATCCCGTAAAAGCTCGTAAAGTGCCGAAAAGCTTCGATAAACCCCGATAACCAAAACAAAAAATATCCGATAGGTGTCAATAGATCTCGACAAAGGGGGAAAAAATCCCGAAAATATCGATGAAACTATATGGGACCGCTAAACAACAAAAAAAAAAAAAATCCCAAAATTCCCGAAAAGTGGTGAAAAGGACCAGAATATACCTAAAATTTTATGAATAGTTTCAAAAAGCGACCGGAATTTGTGAAAAAATCGGAAAAAATTATGCACACATCTCGAAAAACCTCAAAATTAATAAAAATAAATTCGGGTAACACTCAAAAAGAAAAAAATATATAGAGGAGTGCCGAAGGTTCTTAAAAAGTCCCGAATAATTGCCACAAACCCGAAAGGCTCCGAGAACAAAATAAAAAAAAAAACGAAAAACTCCTGAAAATTGCATGATTTAGGTTGCCAATTGTTCCGTCGATAAATGTTTTGCACATATTATTAAAAGGTATGTATTGATAAAATAAAAACTTACTGTACATTGTCGTCTGGATGAAAGAATCGTGCTACACCATAAGCCAACAAGAAAAGTATCGGTGACATCCAGGCAAACAGTTTAAACCAGCGCATCACTATAGTGTCCTTCACGAAGACCTGGAAGAGGGGGAGAGAGAGAGAAGGAAAGTGTCCAAAAAATATATAAAAAAAACAGCTGATATTTATGTCGATAACGTTAAAAAACGATAACAGCAAATATAATGAATAATCGTACAGAAAAAACTAAAAGTACAGAGTTACTTACTGAAAAAAGTAACCAATAAAATTTGATAAATATATCGATAAAAGTAATCGAATCGATAACAAGTAACTTCAATAACAATGTAAATAATAAAAATTGCCAATAAAAACTCGATAATATTATTGAAAAAAAACATATTGCCAGTAACAATAGCCACGAAATATGCTAAAAGTGATAATTAAAAGTAAGAAAAATATGGAATATGATATCGATAAAAAATATTTTATCGATAGAGATAGCAAATCTTTATAAAAATATGCTCAAAATGAAGATAACGAATAAACATTGAACAAGGATGCCAATAAAAATAATCACACCGATAATGATAAATCATGGTAATAATAATAAAAAGTTAACGAATAAGGTATCTACAGTCGGGAGCGATAACAATAATAATACCAATAACGATTAACTATAAAAATGTAGATAAAAATAAATATGACGCACAAAATATCGATAATGATATCGACGAAAAAAATCATACCGGACATTAATAAGGATTAAAATATTATTAGAGTAAAAAATAGTACTCGAAACTAAATATAATAATAGAAATAACGTATGAAAGATCGAAATATCGGTAATGATATTGATAAAAATGATGATGTTAGGTATGAATAACGATAAATCAAAATTAACACAAACAATGATAAAGATATAAACAATATGTCGATAACGATATCAATATCAAAATCAACGATTACTTAATAACAATTTAGATTTTAAATATTTATAACGAGTACATAGATGATCGATAAATCGATTAAATCGAATGTTGAGTATTTGGTGTTTGGTATTTTCCTACCATTTTCTATACAAAAATTTCAAATTTCAGAATTTTAAGAATACGTCTGCATAAACAGTTTTGAAGATGTTTATTGAAAATCTTTTCATGAATTAAAAAATAAAAATAAAATTGTTTCACTAAATAAAAACCTCAGTCTGCTGATATGTACTAATCCGAAAATTTACACTGAAGAGCATTGTGGAAAGTAAGCTTCCAGTTCGATTACTTCCTCTGGCCGCCATTGTGCCTAGGGATGTCTGTGGCAAAAATACATCGATGTTTTTCTTTGATTCGATGGATCGAAATGTACACGACATTTTTCGTTGCATCGAAGGGCATACATCGAAATTTAAAATAAATTACTGCAACTGAGCGAATTATGTTTCTAACGGAACTTTTTGGAGCCATTTCAATTTTGTGGTCAACGTCACATCTCTTTTTTGTACAATTGAAAAACTGGCATGACGGTTCAATATACAAGAGATGTCAGTTTTTAAAAAAAACATCGAAGCATCGATACATCGACTATTTATACATCGAGTGGAAAATTTTCGATGCATCGAATCAAAACAACGATATTTTCGATGCATCGAAGTTTTTCCAACAACCCGAAAAAAATCTAAAACATTTGTTTTTTGCACCTGGGTGCGTTCCTTGCATATATTTTTTACAACTTTCATTTCTATAATGTAACACACCAACTTGCCATTCTCATGAATGATAAAAAGACAAATATTTTTTTCGCCTATTAAGCGCCTGTTTGGCTTGCATTTAAATATGTGGTTAAAATCGTGTGTAGTTCACTGAATTTTACTTTTAATTTTTCACATTTGCTGTTCTATTTTTATACACTTTTGCAACTTTGGCAACGCGGCACTCAATGCTAATCAAACTTTTCTACTTTGAACGTTGCATACATACAGGCGTATGCCAAGCAACTACATACGTACCTTTTCCCTCAAGTAGTCATGCACAGCAATGAGTGGTAACCCTGCAGGGAAAGCTACCAGTTGTGAACCAGAATGCTACTAGTTTGCGTTTCAGCCCAACTAGTTCACGTTGTATCCTTTTTCAATGTTAGCGACTGGTATTTTTAACATGGCGGTGTGATAGGAATTGCCAATTGTCCGCTCCTGCATCAGCACACTACCAGTAGAAATACTAGTCGCATCATTCTAGTTAACGAGATAGACTGCCTCTTCATCCCCCGTGAAAAGCATAAGCATGTCATTTTGCTCGGGGCGCTGCAACAGTGGCAATGGTCGACAGAGTAAAGCTTTGGCATGCCAAATCAAGAGATCTGAGTTCGAATCTCATGGTGAGAATCTTTTTTAATTTTATTTTGTTTTTTTTTTTCATTTATATCTCTTGTGTAATTTTTAAATTTATTGTTTTAAAAAGAAAAAAATTATTTATTTTCATTTTTACGGTATTTAAGTATTTAGGTTTTTTCCAAATCAAACTAAATTTATGTTCAACTTTTATTTTATATTTAAATTGAAATAATTATTTAAATTAATTTACACTTACTTTACTCTAACAACCTACACGCGCACTCGAACCAGAGATCTCTGAACCAGAATCGGTAGTCTTCACTCGACGCCACAGCCGACATTTGCGATGAAAGCAATTAACCGCATTTTAGTTTTGTTGTGCCTATTAAAAGACAGACGTCGCTAATCGCATAAGTTCTTCGAAATCGCCGAAATGGTAGGCCGTCGCTTTGGCACATACTAGTTAATGACCTAGTATTTATACTGGCTGGTTTGGCATTTCACTGCGGAGAACTGGTACAATTATAGTCCATGACAATCTGGTTTGACTTCTCAATTAAATACCAGTTTTCTAACTAGAATTTCTACCAACTGGTTTACTTTTTTCTATGAGGAACTGGTATAATTATGGTTCATAATGAACTGGTATGACTTTTATCATTAAATAATAGTTCATGAACTGGAATTTGTGCATACTGGTTCAGCTTTTCACTACAGGGAATGTACATACATACCCTGCAGAAAAAAAATTATCAATTGTTTCAAATAACCAACTTCTAGTTAGCTTTTTTAACTAACTTTTAATTGGCTATTACATAATAACTTAAAGTGAGTTGTAAAGACATGCAGTAGTCATGCAGACGTTGTCGGGAGTAAGTATGTTTTTTTTACAAGTTTCTATTTAGATATCCTCATACAAAGATTGCTTTCAATACACTTTTTTCTGTACTGCGCAGATTCTTTTTCGAATTCAGGACAAATAAAATAAAGGTCGACATTTTATATTAGCATTTTGATGTTATGTCTGATCGAATTCAAATATCGATCAAAAATGCCCTATATCAGCACATTTTTAATACATTTTGAAGTAAGATAGGGCGTTTTTGAACAGAATTTGAGATAGGGTGTTTTTCAATAAAATTCTGAAATAGGGCGTTCTTGAAATGTTTTTTGAGATAGGGCGTTTTCGAACTGGCTGCCGAGATAGGTCGATCTTCCACTCAGCAGTCGATATGTAATGTTAAAAAAGTAGATATAAAAAAATTAAAAAATTAAATTTTTTTTTATTGATAGTTTATGTACAAAAGTAGTTAGCTACAAGTTAGTTGACATCTAATGCAAAGGAAACCAGTTCTCACTATTTTGCTGCCAAAGCTCTTCAAAAGTAGTTAGTTACGGTCTAAGGAAATAATTAATAAAAAGTTATAACTAATGGACTGCTGGGTAGTTATAAGTTAGCTATAACCGTTTCCTGCAGGGTATGCATGTGCATGTATGCATGGAAAATCGCTCACGTACTTCTTTGCGCATAGAGTTTTAGCATGTGTGCTTGTGCATGTTTTATACATATGTAAGCGTTTGCCCGTGTTTTTTTTATGTGTGCACTTCCGGCTTGCATAACACGAGCAATCAACTTTTAATAATCTTTATGAATCAAAAATCCAAAGCCGACGCTTACGGGAGTGGGGGTTCGGAGCGCTGAATTGAGATGGCAAATTTACCTTTAGTAAAGCTATGTGTGTATGTTGTTAATAGCACTGGTTTAGAGCAAAAATGTTCAACGGATGCAACTATCGAATTCCTATATAGAATTTTTCGCTGATTCTGAAAATATAGTTAATTTTTTATTTTATATATAAGTTTTCGAGATATTTTCAATTTACCGGTATTCAGCATAAAACAAAAAGTGGTTTCACTTACCCACGTACATGTATGTATCTTACGAACCAATTTAACAAGCCTAATATGAAATACGTTTAACGAAAGCTAACGAAATTCTCCATGAACCGTATGTACATCACTTTTCGATAGGTCTGACAGTCTGACAAATTAATTAATCATCCAGAGTTTGTGTTTTTTTTGGGATAAAAAATGGAAAAAAAATAAACTTTAACAATAGAAAACTTTAGAAATAACAGATTCTGCGTATTTTTTCGCATTTATGTTAAAGCCTGTTCTGTATCAAAAAAATCAAGTTACTAATGAAGAAAATCGATGAATAAATAAAGAAGTAATGGGCAGTCAAATGAAAATGCGGCAACATTCTTTATTTATCCATCGATTTGCTTCATTTCCCGTCAAAGTTTCATTTATTTCCTTTTTTCACCAAAAAATAAAAAACGGTAATGGTTAATAAATTTCTCAGAAACTATCAGTTCTATAGGAAAGTAATGCACATCCGGTTAAAAATATCTCGAAAACTTATGCGTAGAATAAAAAAATAACGCGATTTTCGAAACCAGCGAGCAATTCTGCATGGGGTATAGATAGGGCCATCCGTGGAACAGAAAAAAACACAAATTTGTGATCCAATTTGTGATGCTATGTATACCCCTACAAAAATCGCGTCCATTGTAAATACTTAGTACTCCCTAAGGTTCAAGGAGTGCCACAAAACTGCATACCACAATTTCTTCTAAAGACATTTTTATAATTTTTGTACAAAGTTTGAAATCTTAATTTACATATATGGTGTTTGTTGTATAACCAGCTAGAATTTTATAAAAAAATAATAAATATTAAATAAACAAAAGAGAAATAGTCTAAAATTGGTCAAAATATCGTACTCCTATTATTTTGTGGACAACTGTATGTACATGTATAAGTATGTAATTTAGAATTGTTGAACTCACCACTACCAGCACTAAATGTAAGTGCAGCCCCTCACAAAACATCCAGAAATAATTGACCAGCATGAAATAGTGTACGACGAAGTGTAGCAAAATGCACCAGGGCTGTGTTGGGGCAGGGAAGGAAAATGCGAGAATTTCAGAAAATCAATAAATATACGCACATGAAATTAGAATATCTAGTAAATACAATATTAATAATAATTATTAGCTCTACATAAACGCACTACTACAACCACACAGAACGCACATACATACACACATTGAACTATTACTAGATAAACTTTGATAAGCTTATGTTTTGTATCAGTTGCTTGCCACATCATTGCACCACAACACAAACACACACTCACTTGCAAATGAACTTAATCTAGTTTATGCTCCCTTTACCCCAATTGTTACTCACCGGATTATTGCCTATTAAATCCGGTTGCTCGACCACTAATTTGTACCAAAGTATCCAAGCGATGCAAGTGAATGCCAATGAGGCGAATAAATGTACGTGTATGCGTATGCGTGTGCAGCGTAAGGATCTATGCGTTTATGCATATTAAATGAGGAGTAAATAGCCGAGACCGAGAAAGAAAATATGTACATGTATGGCTGTGTTAGAACTTTTTACACGCCGGCAGTGAATAAATTGCATAAATGACGTGCTGATATTTGTTTAAGAGTTTCCTGCACCTGCTGAATACTTACTTGAAGCCAAGGAATATGATAAGTGAGAGCACCAAGGCGGTTAAGGAGACAGCATATCCTTTCACGTATAACTCATTTACAAAGCTGCGAAACTGTTGATGAGAAATAAAAAGAAATGTGGAAGGATGATAGAAATGCGTGTATAACAACATCATTTTGAGAAAAATCCAAGTTCTGAATTAAGTTGTATTTAAAATTTTAAAGTCTTGGTAAAAAGCGCAAGTTTTGCTGCCTGCTAATTATTTCATTCACCTACTGAGTTTAAATGTGCAATTCTCAACTGATGTATGAAGAAATTTTTTTATGAGAATAAGTTGATGATATACTCAAATCAGGCCCACATAAAGAATTCTCCTTCCTAAAGGCAAGTATCCTCTAATTGAGAATTCATACATATGTAAATAGCTGAAAGTGTAAATTAATATTCTCCTTTCTAGCCTCGGAATCTCAACCTCCGTAAACTACTTATCGCTTAACATAACTTACCTCTAAGTCATCATAGTCAATGCAATTTGTGTAGTTGGACCACTCGCGTCCACTGACAGGATGATGATACCAGGTGCCGTTCTCCAAACAGCTGAAATAGAAAAAAAAATGTTGAAAGAGATATAGTATAAAGCAAATTTAGATAGAAAGAGACCGACGAAAGAACAAGTATAAAGTGCAATGAGCAAGAAGAAGAAATAGTGTAAGAATATTGATTGAAAAAAAAACGATAAAATTTGAAACTTCTTTTTGTAATTTTGCAGCATTTTGCACTGATACTTAAAATTGTCCTTTTGATGTAGCAATACATCTACAGAGATTGTCTAAGCATTTCTTCATCAAATAGAAAATTTCGAAAAAATTGTCACTTACTCTATTTTTCCAGTTTATAATACTATATATATATTTCTTAATTTTTCACAAATTTATATTTATTTTATTTTATTTCTCATAAATATTCATAGAATTTCCAAATCCTTTTTGTGTTTGTTCTTAATATTTTATGAGTTTGTGATTCTCAACCAAGAACGTGTTTTTTCTTTCCTTGATTTCCAAGTTCATGTGTATGTACATATGTACATTAGGGTGCGCCTTATTTTTTCAGGCAAAACTCCCCCTAGATAGGCTCATTCTCCAAATCGGATAACAGAAAGACGTTATGTATTTTCACATTTTCCAGGCAAATTCGAGGACGCTTGGCAAATACAATTTTCCAGTTTTGAAAGAAGTTTTGTAAGATTTTTCCCGATTTCGATATTACAAAAGTTCTTATTGTGATTTTTACGCTTTTGAAATTTTTTTATAATATGGGTATTCATGGAAACTCGTAAATGCCTTGTAATCGCGTAAACCTCGTAAATAAACCGATTTTCCATACAAAATTAAGTAAGTTTACGTGTTTTCTGAATTGCCCTAATATAAGGGATTCCATATTTTTTTTTTAATATAAATTTGAATTTTTTGGTGTTTTCTAAGAGTAAATGAATTTTTAAAATTTTCAGCAATATATTTTTCAAAAAATTTTTTAGTTTTAGTTTGCTTTTGAACTGTTTCATCAAAAAATCGGTAATTTAAAAAAATATATTTCCCAATTTTATATAAAAAATATTTATTCACAAATTGTTTTTTTGCGAACTGTTTAAACTTTTAATGATTTTTAACAAAAAGTAGACTTCTTCTTTAAATCTTTGATATTTTAGAAACTTCTGCTTATTTTTAAAGCTGGCTCTGAAAACTTTTTTTTCGAATACTTAAAAAAATCTGTCTTTCGATTATAATCTTTTTTATTTTTACGTAAGCAGAGCTAAAATTTTTATAATAAGCTCCCACTATTGTATTAAAAAAAGGAAAATATAGTGCTTATCATAACCACTCGACACTGCTTCTTTGTTATGACTTTTATTTCAATTATTATTTTTGACTTATAATTCTATAACAAACATCTTATAAAATATAGTTTCAAAGTTTGTGCAACAATTAAATGAAATACTTAGAATTAACAAATTTTCATCAAAATTTCACATTTTTAATTCAGAATTTCTGGACAATTTTTTGGTATGAAATTTTATAGCCCATTTAAGCGCAAGTTTAACGTGGCTACAAAATACCGCAGATTTTTGCGGTTTTTTATTTTTTTTTGTTAAAGGTATGAAGTACCTATGTTCTACGAACAAAAATCAAAAAGTGAATGGTATCTTGTAGTAACTTTAAATTTCCCCTTTATTAGATTACTAGAATTGAGTGGAGTACAAAACTGCATACCAAAAATTTTCTGGAAATTCTGAATAAAAAGTATTAAATTTTTATGAAAACTTCTTGATTTTGTTTTAGTTTTCTACAAAGTTCGAAACTTGGATTTAAATGGTTTTTGTTATATAATGAATTATATTTTTAAAAGAAAATAATAAAAACTAAATAATAAATAGTCAAAACTTGTGAATATGTGGGTGTCGTATAGCTATGATAAGCACTATATATACAATCGAAATACTATGTAAATCAGAAACATGCAAATAATTGGCAAAACGAACAAGGAGAGGAATTAAAAATAAATTGGAAAATAATTGCTTGATGCGAATCTTAAACTTTACATCCAGGAAAAGCAAAACAAATAACTGAAAGTGGAAGAATAAAAAAAAAACATTTAGCTTAGTCGCCCAACGGCGATGCAAAAAAATCAAGAAATACAAGGAGAAACCACTACTACGAAGCAAATATTTGCCTGCAACAAATGCACTTCCCACTACCACCAGCTAGTTACGTTATATACTTAACCAATAAGTGGCAACTGTTGATTTTGCAAACATTCGAATATTGAAATATTGAAATTCACTCACGTTTTATGCGCCAGAAATTTGCGGTTGAAGCCCTCCACAAATTCCGGACAATATTGACTGAGCACAGTGCCGGCGGGCGTGCGTGGCCAGCAGAGATAGCCATCGAAGCGTAGAGGACAGAAGCGTAGCTGACCGCTGGAAGTGAAGGAAGTGGCTGCAGTGGAGTATGTTGTAGAAGCAGAGATGTCGGTAGCATACAAGGAAGTTGCAGAGGCTGGTGTTGTTGCAGCGACTAGAGAGAAATTGCTGCTATACGTGTCGGTTGCATTGCTAGTAGTCTGGGTGTTCCTTTTCTTGCTAGCCGCTGCGGATGTTGGTTTTAAGCTGTGCTTAGATATGTAAGCGAATAGTTCATTTTGTTCTACCTTCGCTTCGTCCACATTTGTCAAGTCAATAGTGCCTTCACTGAGTACAGCATCCTCGAGATAACGTGGCACGCCGATATAGTTGGCTGTTGGTGGGAAGAGAAAGAAAAGGAAGAGGTTAAAAGGAAAATGGACATGAGTGTCGGTGTAAAGAGAAAACTTGAGAAAATTAAAGCTTATGATTGATTTGTATAATTTTTTGGACCATAAAGGAAGGACCATTTTGGTGTCACCGAGGGGAAAATTCAGCCTCCGAGAGGAAACAGCCGATATCGCACTGAGGATGACCGACTTCGTACGAGCCCGAAGCAAAGTAGTCTGTAATACTGTTCCGACAAGGAATGTCACGCCGCTCACAGATTGTAATAGATGCCGCCTAAAAAGGGCACGCTGCGCGATTAGGTTTAATGCGAGCTATCTGGGGTCGATAAAGTAAGCATAAAAGGAAAGCGTAGAGTATTTGCTGCAAAAAAAGCGAAAAGTAAAAAATGCGAGAGTGCGTAAAGCTTGAAACGCTGGCTTAAATCCACTTTAACTATTCAGTCGCAGGATTCGTCTGTGAAACCTATTTAAGTAAGGCAAAAGCTAAAGCTACTGCAAATAACTCTACCGGGACGATAATGTCGAGAGAAGAGACTTTTGAAGCCCAGTTGTTGTAAGTATAGCTAGCAAAGTAAAATTATTTTTTTTTTAAGTTGTCGTATACATTCACAGCTAGGCTTATTTGAAGGAACGATCCTTTGGCCTTTTTTTATTTATTTTACGTAAATTTCTGTTGCGAGATATAAGGATTCATAGGAGACTGATAAAATTCCCAATTCAGATATGTTTAGCAAATAAATAAACACCTTTTCAAAAAGAGTATATTAAAATTTCAGTGGCAGATTTGGGCACTGATTTTTTTTTCAGTAATTTATACTTTTCTAAGTAACCTTCAATAGGTTTAAAGGCAGGATCCCATAGCGGGTTATTACTGTTTCATTTAACAACCCAAATTTTGTTAAAAAAAAAACAATTTTTTTTGTATATATTTCTACTTCAACAAAACTTTCTGTTACAGTGTTGATATTCGCATTCAGACGTAGTTTCCATTTCATTTGTTGGATTTCTTTTACTCAATGTCTTTTACACGTTTAGAACTTTTTCCTTTGAATCTACCATAATATTGTGCTTGGGCGAAGAGCACATTTCGACTGAAAATAAAGAGGGGACTTGGAGTACAGGCCATTACTGTGAACGATTTTCGCTTCTTAGAGGATCCCTTTAGCCAACTTAGGGGTGAAAAAGCCCTATCTAGAAACTTCTTTTTCCAACTTTGGCTACATTTTTGGATTTCGGCCGCACTGTGAATCGCCCAGAAAACTTATGGCGTTTTATTTCATACCAAAATTGTTGCCTTATAACTACTTTGTCCTTAGTATTTGTGCATAGAGGGCACTGAGAAGGCAACATTTTTCGGTAGAAAAAAAAAACGCCATTAATAAGGAGAGTTTCCGGTACAGCTCGAAAATGAACATATCTTCAACACTATTTAAGTTAAGACATTGTTATTAATTTTTTCAGACCTAATAAAATCTAAATGTGCAGCGAGGTGCAAAAACTAGCATTCGAAGTGCACCCACTTTCTTCATACACTGTAGCTTGTAAGAAAAAATTTGTTTGGACACGCACTTGCAATAACAGCAAAATGAGACTTTCTTCTCTAACAAAAAAAGTTGCCGAACAAACATTGTTCGTGAATAGACAGGCTGCCAAAATCCATAATAAAATCAAAATGTTTTAACTTTGGTCCAAAAAATTTCCATGCCCATTTCTTGGAGATTCTTTTATCGAAAAAATTCGCTAAATAAATTTTCTGAAGGAAAAAACATTCTGCCCAAATCGACAATGAAATCTTCGTTTTGTAAGCTGCCATGCTCATTTCTATGGGTTTACTGCCGTAAGCAAAATATTCCCAAACAAAAATTTTTAATGGACAGGTTTTCTACCGGAATCCACAATAAAATTTACATTATTGCAAAAAACTCCAAAAATGCGGCTTTGACACCACAATATCGATTTCCTTAGCAATTAATATTATATTAAATTATATCGATTAATCCTATTATCTTTAAGCGCTTCCACTTACCATCATCGTCCGTATCATTTGCCGCCAAACCGCTTTCATTCTGATAGCGAATAATGCAATTGAGATAGAGGTGGGAAAGAAATTCGCGCAAATATTGATTATCGCTCTGAAATGGCTCGAAGAGGAAGGCCATTTCTGACGGTTGTAGTAACAGTTGTTGCTGTTGTTATTGTTGTTGGCGGGAGCAGGATTCGAGTTGTTTTTGTTGTCAACTTATATGAGCTTATTTATTTTAAAGCGCTGTGCCAAGCGAATGACCGCATTCATCTCTTCTGGCTAATCGTTGCCCTTTGTTGTTCTAGTTGTTGTGGTTGTTGTGGATATTTTCTGCTTCATTTGTAATCCATTTTACTCGTTAGGAGATCTGTTTAAGCCCATCTGTTGAAAAAATAAGAGATGAATTGTTAGCAAATACTTTGTAAACTTAATCGCCAATGAAAACTGATTTACTTCAGCAAAGGTTAAAATAATTTTTATACATAGTGCGCTTATAGGCGCCTTAGCATACTTAATTGGCATTTTAGTCGCAGGTGCGCGCGAGCGATAATCTGCTGTGTGCTATTTCACACCTTTGCTCGCCAGCCAGCAAAAGAGTCGTAAATTGTTGGGCACTGCAGGCGAAGTTCCGTTTTCTTCCTCTGCTCTACCCTTGGCAGCTCACCTTATCACATTACCTAAAACGAATCAAATTTCGCTGTGAAAATGAAAAGTTCACTGGCAAAGAAATTATGAAGGTGTGTGTGCTTGTGACTTTTAGTTGTCAGCAAGCGGAAATGTGCGCGCGCCAGTTGTAGGCAGGCCAGACAGCCAATCGGATACTGTTACACTTGTATGCGGCGCTATGTTCATATCCAGCCGTATCGCTTACATTGGGCGACCGGAAATGTGCTGAACTGTGCCGCTACCAAGTGCTGTCAATTTACGATATTTTTGTCCTGTGACACTTCTTTTTTTTTGCCAATTTTCTCTTTTTAATGAAAAATGGCAGCTTGAGTTTCGTTTTCATGAATTTTTCTTTCGATTGCCGGAAAAGCATCGAACCTGTACATACATACATACAAACATTAGCTACTAGAGTTTCTTTGTTGCATACCGAGTATTTATTTTTTCGTATTTTCAGCGGAGCGCATTTAGGTGGTGGAGTGAATAAAGGCTTGGCGTGAACCTTTTATAAATGGCGATATCTTTGACCGGAAATATTTAATCTTTTAGGGTTAGGAAGAACAATTAAAAAGAGAAATTTTATAGCATTCGCTTTTTCTTTTTCTACTTTGTGTTAAAATTTAGTTTTTTTGAACGTTTTTGTGTTTTTGTATTTGTCTCTTAATCGTTTTTCATCATTTTAAAATACAGAATATCATAAACAAATTTTAAACAATAAAAATTAAAATATTTGGTTAACTTGCATATTTATGAGCCTTAAAATTTCCTGTTTTAAAATTTTCTTAAAAAATACAAATATGTACAACAAAAAAAGTAGAAATTTTAGAAATTCTCATTCGTAATAACCAATTTTTTAAATTTGTTTTTTTCAATTAAATTTTTTTTCTAGTTTTAACTTTAAGTAATTTAACGGTGAAAATAGTACTTTTATTTAAAAAACTGTATTTTTCGTGCCCTTATCGTTCTTTAGAAATTTGTAGATTCTCAACGGTTTTCTAATAAAAATCTAGATTTCTTAAATTAGCAATAATGATTTCTTATCAGAGAATTTGAGAATTTGCTGCAATTCTCATCTTAATCTTCACATGTTTTTTTATCTGAAAAATCAGCTTATTTATGTAAAATTTAATGTTTTATAAAATTTTTTGTATATAAATTTTAATCGATTTCTAAACTGTGAAATACTTGAAATCGAAATTTTTGTAATTGAAATTAAGTAATAGTTGTCTAATTTTTTTTGTTAAAAATTTGCAACCTTAACCGTTTTCTCTTTTTCTGATTGCATTTTTAAATTTTATTATTGCTTATTTCTAATACTTGATTTATGTATATCACTTTTCAATTTAAAATATATCTATACGAAAATTTTCAAAATTTAAATTCATTATTTTAATTCTTTATATTTACCGCTCCATTCCAGCAAAGTCACAAAACTCAGCACATCGCTATTGTGAATTTACTGCGACTGAAAATATGTCACACAAATTAGATTTTAAGCGGCATATTTGTTTTAGCGCAATATTTTGAGGCGCAATAAAAATCACAATAGCGATGTGCTGAGTTTTGCGACTTAGATGGAATAGGGGATTGATTTAGGTTATTTAACTTTTTGAAAACTTTAAATTCCAAATTAAAAATTTTCTTATCTGCAGTCTTTTTATCTTATTGTGGTATTCCGTCAAGCCAGTAAAAACTCGAAGCTCCAAATGCTCCTACTGAGAACCCCAAATTTGCAGGGAAGTTATTTACAGAAAACTTATAAATGACCAGCTTTCGCTTTTCGCAAATATTGTCTTTAGCCTAAAAATGTGCAACAAAATTTTTAAATAAGTTAGCAAAAATTGTATGAAAATAAATAAGGGAGAAAGAAAGCCTTAAAGTTGAAGTCTATGCTGTTCTTTTTGAAAAAAGTATTCAGCTGAGCTGACGAAAATAATCCTTAGCCTACAAATATGCAACGAAATTTGAAAGCGTGCGGAAATGACGTGAGGGTAAATGTACGCTGGCGCGCTTCTGCAGTTAATTAAGTATGTATTCAAGTAGACAAAAATTAGCATACGCCAAAAATTATGCAACGAAAAATTTTAAACCGAACAAAAAATTCACATAAATAAATTTACGCAGCCTAAAGTTTACAGTTTTTTAAGCAAAATATGTATGGCTGATGAGAGAAGGCAAGCAAAAGTCTAAAGCTATGCGCACAAATTCTTCAAAGTAAAAAAAAATACCTGACAACAAAGCAGCTGAAAGCTTATAGATCGAGTTAAGATTGCATTTTTTCTGAAGCAAATTCCTTTAAGCTCATATAGACCCAAAAGTATGCTAAACAAATTTTAAAACTGAGCAAAAAAAAACGTGCAGAAAATGAAAGTAGTGGGAAGCTTATGGTTAGAATTTAGGTTATTTTCTTTGAACAAGCAAGCATAAGCCCAAAAGTATGACACAAGATTTTAGAAAGCAGACAAAAATTTGGTTGATAGTAAATGCAAGCAGCAGAATGCCTACAAGAGATTACAGTTTCTTTTTTGTGCACAAAATTCATCTAAGCTTATAAAATATAATGAGAAGCCTAAAAATATGCCACAACATATTTGAAACGTGCTACTATAGTACCTAACCATGAACGTGTGGACACACACATCTAAGACATAAGCTAACCCCGCAATTGTGTGCACTTGACAAATAATCAACCATGACTATTTGCCAAAAATTTGCGCCTAAAATTATGCCGCTAATACTTGCGTCTGTATTTGACTAAATTTGTTGTGCATTTTTAAGGCGAATAAAATAAAATTTCTGCAGCATAGTTTTAGTTGTAGTTCTTTTGACAAATAGTCAATTATTCAAGTGAAAAGAATTCGGGATTAAAGGTACTATTTTAATATTCATTTCGCCTAAAAGTATGCCACATTGTGTCAGAGAAATTTAAAAGCCAGGCTGCGAACTATGTATAAAGAAAAATCATGCAATTAAACTTAAAAGCAAAACAAATTAAATCATTCCCATACGTGGCTGCTCACAGTTATGGCAAAGCAGGTCAGCAGCCACAGAGGGAAAAGGAAAAAGTGAAGCAGACGTTAGTAAAGAGCGTAAGACAAAAAGCAATCATTACATTTATAGCAATTAAATTGCTTCTAATTGTATTAAATCCTGTACAAGCAAAAGACAATTTAGATTCGAATAGAGTAAAGCAAAATAAATGTGAAGCAAGGCGTATAGAACACACTTGTTATGCTAAGTTAAGTGACAAATTAAGCATAATAATTAATTATCGCATACGATGAGAATTAATGAAGCACTGATGGCTGGAAATACAGAGTTAGAAAGCAAATCTTTTGCTAGTAAATCTGAAAAAAAGAGCACATAAAATTAGCGTACAAAGCGCTTTGTTGTCGCACCAGAGCTTAAAGTTGGCAGTAACGCCGCTGAGGCTCGCCAACACCTGTGCAAGAGCAACCACAACATGCAAAAGCGAGTGGCTTAATTGCCTACTGTTAGGCTGTGAGACGGAACTGAATGCATGTCTCAGCCATACATACATATAGGCACACGGACACACAGGGCTATGTGGAGAAGAGTGCACTTAGTTCTTTGCTTTATGTGCCAGAGCGTATACGTAATATGCAGATGGAGTAGCTATGCAGTGCAGAAAACATTCAAAGAAAAAAAATATCGCACACAATAGATTGTAATAAACTTAACAAGCCATAGCAGCAACAATCACAAAAAGAAATTGACAGACAGCACACTAATAGCAGCAGAGGAAAGAAAAATGAAAGCATTCCACTAGCTAAGCTGCTGTTCAGCTATAAAATATGTCTACATGTGTGTGCGCTATGACGTTGACAAGGCAGTAGTCAGTCGGCTCTCATTGCCTTTTTTACATGTTGCTCATACGTCATGGCATACCACTAAACTCTACGTGTATGTAACTATGTATTTGCTTTGCGGGCTGTGCGGACCTTTGCTAATGGTCGGCAGATGATTGTTGTCGGCACGGGAAGTCGCTGGGAGAAAAGCGTGTAATTAAATTTAATGTCACAAGTGAGTGCTGTCGCCAGAAAGCAGGCTGGTGAGAAGCAGCGAAACAGCTGTGGGTAGCGCGGTATGCTGAGTGCTAGTATTTGTTTTGTAAATACAGGCAGAGGTGTTGCTTTCATTTACATATTCGCTGGACTGGAAGCATGTGTGTAGGCTCGCGTGTGTGTGCTGACGTACCTATGTATGTAGGTGTGATTTCCGCTAAAGTAAAGTAAATTTTCCAGTGAACTTTGTTTTTTCAAAAGGACCTTTACGCTACGCGACTTACAAATTTATTTGATTTTTATAATTAAATATTTTTATGACATGATTGCTTTTGCTGTTAAATAATGTATATTTGTAGGTAACTATTTGGTATTTAAACTATTTGTTTGAGAAATATTTTTGATAGCAATTTATCTTAATATAAAAAGTTCAACTTTTTTGTTCTGCCGCATTACATATTTGAGTTGAAATATGATTGATGATGAGATAAATTTTTTGTCAAAGCAAGTTCAGAAAAATGTTTACATACTTTTGGGCTTAAAAAACTATTTTTGTCGCAATGAAGCCATTTCATTTCATTTATTTTCGTTATTTATAACCTTATAACAATTATATTCAACAATTTGATTGAGCTTGCGGTTGTTTTCCACAAATATTTTCATTGAAACCGGGCTCAAGCTCAATAAAAT